GCAGACTTGCGCTCTCTGCGGGAGCCCTGCGCAGTCGGGCGCGCACTCGCAGCGCGGGCGACCCCCCAGCATACGGCACGCCTTGCCAGGGCCACACTGCACGCTGTCGCAGGAATCTGCGGACACAGAACACGCGCGTGTGGGTCCTCCTTCGGGTCGGGGTCCGGGCAGAGTCCAGGTGCGCCTGGGTTGGGGTCTCCATCGCAGTGAGCGACCAAGTCTCTGCCCACAATCTGGGGTCCCGTCGGTGCCCCATTGTCCGCCAATGAGACTGGGTGACAGCAGCCCCCTGCAGCCTCATTTCTCAGCTAGGGAAACTGAGGTCTGGCTGGGAGAAACCTCGCTGCCTCCCACTCCTCCGTTTCAAAGCGCTGTTTCTGGCATTCTCCCAATCACCATTTTTACAGACAAGGAAACCGAGGCCAGGCCACAGCTGCCAGTGCAGAGGATCCGGGAGCACCTCAGCTCGAGGACTCCGGGCCAGCCCCTGATGGGCACCAGCTCTGTGCTTGTGGAGCTGGACCATAGGTTCTGACCACTCCAACCTCAGTTTCCCTGTGTGTAGCAGGGGCCGGAAGATCTCACCTTAGGGTGAGGAGGGGCAAGCGCCCCCCCCACGCCTCCCACCGGGGCATGTGGGCCGTACACAGGCACCTCCCACGCTGCCTGCCCACACGCACATCTGGAACCACTCGGCCAAGTGGCTTCATTGCAAGCGAGAACAGAAGAGCGGCCAAGTTCCCATCCCGAAGGCCAAATTGGTGTGTGTGGGGGTGTCCTGGGCCACCTCATGCCCAGGCCAGGCACATTTTGAAGTCTGTCCTTCTTCCAGAAGTCTGTCCTCCTTCCAGGGAGAGAGAAGTCCGGAAGTGGGTGCCCAACAGGGTGCTCAGGACCACCCACCCAGGCCGATCTGGGATTAATCACGTTTCAGAGCCGGGCTGGGCTACAGCCACGACTGGCCTTCAGGTCTTCAAGCCTCTGCTTCTGCCTCCTGCCTGTCCCCCTGCTAGGACAGACCCAGCAACTCCTAATCATCTCCCAACCCCCTGTCATTAATGCCCACGTCCTTTAACTCCTGGCCCAACTCCCTCTGTGTGCCCTTGGAGGCTCAGACTTTACCACAAAGGGCCAGGAAGGGTCCTCTGAGGCAGAGGATGTCTGGACTCATCTGCTCTTAGTGTGGTGTGGGGGGTGAATTTCTTAGAGCTCGGTCCAGAGAGGCACAGCCTGTTGGACACACATTTGGTGGGGTGAGAACCCTGGTGCAGACAGCAGCACCACCCTGAGCCAGGACAGCCACTTGGGAAAACCCCTTCCCACCAGCTAGGCGTGGGCCAGGCCCCTCTCCACCAGGTGGGCATTGCTAACCAGGCTGGGGCTCTGCGTGGTGAAGTTGGGGGTTTCTCAGACTCCTCCCAAATCCTCCGCTGTGGGAGGCCAAAGGCTGGGAAGCTGGGTCATGGCCCCAGCCTTCTGTGACCACCTTGCATATTCCTGTGACAGGGAGCTCAGCCCCATTATCCTCCCTTCAATCACAGACATTAAGTTGCGCCGGGCCAGAGCGGAGCCACCCCCCTACCCCCGGCCATGGCCACTCCTGGGATAGAGGTCCTCACCTTTGCATGGCAGACAGTGGACAAGGCCCAGGAAGCCCAGAAGGTTGATCTTGTTTTCGGGTTGGGTGTAGTTGGACCAGGCAGTGTCGATGCTACCAGAGGCACAACACTCCGCCTGGCTCACGTCTGTCCTCAGCACCAGGCTACAGGTGGCCTCAGGGCCCTGCTGGAGCCAGCACACCCCACCTGCGGGCAAGGAGGGGACAGTGCCTATGCTCTGGGCCTCTCCCAGAGACCAGCTGCTGCAATGGCTCAGTAGCAGTGGGGCAGACACTGGGCCCCAACACAGGAAGGAGGGGCACAGGTACCCTGGGGGACCCCTGCTGCCCCCGAGTTCCCGGTCAGCCCCCACCTGGCTGTCTCCAGGCCTGAGAGCAGGTAGCTTGCCCAAGTGGTCAAATGCCGGAAGGCTTCGCCCATCAGGGTCACCGGGCGCGGAGCTCTCCTCCCGCCTCTGCCCTCAGTCTAGACAGCGCCCGAGGGCGCGCAGAGCCCCCCGCTGGGCAGCCCCCCCTCTCCTGACCCGCCTCTTACTCACTCTAACTCGGGAACATTCCCCGGGCATGAGCTCACCATCTCCCCGGGGACTCGGCCTTCGGGGAGGGGGCTCTCTCTCCCCTGCGCCAGACTGGGGTGCAGCTGCGGGGAGGCCGTGGGGGTGTCCGGGAGGTAGAGGTCCCTCCGGTTCTTCACCTTTAAAGGGGGGCGGGGACCAGCTGTGGCCCCCACCTCACCGCTCTCTCTGGCTCGGGACACCGCTGAGGCCTTCTAGGGACTCTCTCTGGGGACCCAGCATCTCTTCTACGAACAGGAAAACTGAGGCTGGGAGTGAGGGTGTCACTTGTCACCTCGCAAGTTTCAGGTACAGGTTCCCCTTCCCAGCCCCATCTCGGGAGGATTGCAGATCCCAGCTGGAGTTTCCAGTCCAGCCGCCCAGTGCTGCCTCTGTCCGAAGCCTCAGGACCCATCCAGACCCGGTCGGGGTTGGTGCCACTTACAGGCTGTGTGAGCCTGAGACTCAAGTTTCCCCAGCTGGAAAGTGGGAGAACCCACAGGCTTGGGTTCTTCTGCCGATTCAGAAGTAGAGTTAAGCCCCCGATTAACGTCCAGCGGTGTCCTTACCGACCTCGCTCTGCCCCCTCCGCAGACCCCACCACCAGCAACCCGGACCCTAGACTGGCAATCTGCAGACCACGTGGGTAACCACCACACCCGCCCTTCCCTCAGCCCCACTCACCAGGCGCCGGGTTCTCCGAGCCTACAGCACCTACGAAGCCCACGGCCCAGGCCAAGGCCCCCCAGGGGAGCGGCCACAGCGGCCCCCGCACCCCGGGACGCATGGTGAAG